TCAAATTTGATAATTTTTCAAAGCAAAGAAAAAATCTTGAACAGTATCGAAACAAACATTGAAAATCTGTGTTCAAATTGTGCATTAGAGAACAAAAGATAAAAGGGCGCCATTGGATGCTCATCAAAACAGGTTGGCATCAAATGCCAACCAATAAATGATATCAATGAATACCAACCACAAAAGGGTATGATGAAATACCAACCAAAATGGTTGTCATCAAATGCCAACCATGAAAATGGTGTCATCGAATACTAACCAATAAAAAGTGTTGTAAAATATCAACTAAAAATGGTGTCATCAAATACTAACCAATAAAGAGTATGATCGAATACTAACCATAAAAGTGTCGCATCAAAATGCAACCAATAAAGGGTGTCATTGAATATAAACCAAAAACAGGGGGTTATCAAGAACCAACCAGTAAAGAAGTATCATTAAATGAAATGCAAACAATAAATGGTGTCATTAAATACCAACGAATAAAGTAGGTCATCGAATACCAATTATAATAGTGTATCATCAAATATCAACCAATTAAGTGTGTTCATATGTAAATGAACGGCAGAACAGTGAGATAAGAGGTATATTAAAAAGACAAATATTACAGCTGTAAAGATTAGGAGGTTGTGAAGTGGAGTGATCCCCCATATCATGAAGAAGCATAACACATAAAAGGAGAACATATTTGTAAGATTGTAAAATGAATCATCCTAAACATTTCTCTATCAAAGAAAGTATCGCAATGAACGAGTTCAGTCATCCGAACAATTACTAAAACAATAACGGCTAGAAATAGCCGTGAAAATTTCACGCTTTTCCTATTTTAATTTTTAAAAAATCTTAATTCTTGAGTTAATGAAGGAATAAGGTCCTTGCAAGTTTCATGGCAATAAAATGCACAGGGAAATTTCCCTCATGCATCATTAAATATTTGAGTTTAACAAAATATTACAGTAAGAATAATAAGTATGCATACAGGGTGTCATCAGATGCCAACTATTAACGGGTTTAATCAAATACCAATCAATAATGTATGTCATCGAATACCAACTAATAAAGGGTTTTATGGAATACTAACCAATTAAGAGTGTTATGGAATGCCAACTAATACAGGGTGTTATCGAATACCAGCCAATAGAGGATGTTATGGAATACCAACCAATAAAGAGTGTTATCGAATGCCAACTAATAAAGTATGTCATCGAATACCAACCAATAAAAAGTGTTATGGAAAACTAACCAATAAAGGGTTTTATCGAATACTAACTAAAAAAGGTTGTTATCGAATAGCAACCAATAGAGAGTGTCATCGAATACCAACTTATAAAGAGTGTTATGGAATGCCAACTAATACGGGGTGTTATCGAATACCAGCCAATAAAGGATGTTATGGAATACCAACCAATAAAGAGCGTTATCGAATACTAACTAATAAAGAGTGTTATTGAATACGAACCAAGAAATGATGTTATCGAATACTAACCATAAAAAGCTGCCATCTTATAGCAACCTAAAATAGAGTTAATTAAATATCAATTAGGGTGCCATAAAGAAAACAACAATCAAAAAAGTGTGTTATTTAATAGCATCGAATAAAAGACATCATAGAATACCAAGAAAAAAGATCTCGCTTATCAAACAAAAAGGTATCATCATATATTAATCAATAAATAGTGTTATCGACTATGAACCAAAAATGGGTGCCACTGAAAGCAGTAATAGGGTACAAATGAAAATATTTTGAATTGTATTTCCATTTCATTGAAGCAGAAGATAAACACATAAGAATTTTATCGCCTCTTCTATCTTCCCATTCTTTTTGTTTGTTTCTTTGTTTCTTTCTTTTTCGTTGAAAACAAACAGCATCTTTTCTGTCTTTCCTCGCGATCAAAACGGAATAGTCCATTATTTATTGGCAAGGTGTAACGTACGCGCAAACTAAGGGACTAAAGAACAAGCAGAGACATATGACTTTTCTAGATTAACATACGAATGGTGATCAATATGTGTTGACGCCTTTTTTATCATTTCTACGCCAAGCAAAGCGATAAAGCCACTAAGACGGATTGGGTTACTGGCAGTAAAAGAGTCTAAGGAAATCATTATTAAGGAGAGAGGACAATAGAAGAACTGAGTTCAAGGAGACAAAAGATAAGAAATGACATTGCATTTAAATTTCTGAAGATCAATGTTCACTGGAAAGCAAGAACCCGGAAGTGAATTCCACATGCAAGAAGAGCAATAGAAGAAATTTTTAGAATAGAACTTATGGTTACATCTAGTCATTTGAACTGTAAAACGATGAAAACTAGCAGCTAATCTAATACTACGCTTATTCTAGGTACCAAAGAAGAGAGCTCGTCAGAACAGCTACCATGTATTTATAGAAAATGCACAGGTGTAACAGAGAGAGGTATACACAACACACCCACATGAACGCACACACGCAAATATAACTTTTATTGACTGGAAGTAGAAATGGTTTTTATATACCAAAGTACAATTTGGGTTAAGATGTGTGTTTACCGATGAGAAACACGATCTCAGGGCAGGAGGCAATGTTTTAAACCTGGGTCACTAGTAAACAATGGGGATGGGCGAGATACTTGGTTTTGTTTAACAGTGTTTTGATTAAAAGGTTGAATCAATGTTTAGATATACCAAAGTATAATTTTGGTGAAGCAAGAAGAACTCGTGATTGAGATAAGGTAAATAATTGGAGAATGTCTAGGGATAGTTTTTAGCACTCGTGGTAGCTGCGTGCCGGGCCGAGGGTCAATTGGGAGCAGCTGATCCTTTTTCTATATTAACTCGAGATTTTGCTAATAAAGCAGAGTCGGGGAAAGAGACTGTCGTCGCAGTGAGTCGAGAGATTTGCGGGAGAATTTTGGAGGAGAGAAAGAAGACTGTCCCCTGTTCTGAGAAGTCTGTATGAGACTGGACTATTAGTAATAAAACTACCCCAGGCGATTCAATACGCATTTATCACACACAAACCCTGTCTCTGTTGGGAATTCGCTGGATGCATTTTGCCTTTTCCTTTTCTCATTTATGTTAAATGTTTTTTATTCTCCCTGTAACCTCTGTTCTGATGTTATCTTCTTATATAAAAAACGTCAATATTTCCACCATTGTTGTCTGACTTCTGCAGATATTATTTCTTGTTTTATTTTGCCACATTCTAAACTTCCTACCGCCAACTCTCACAACCGTGTCCACATCCCCAGTCGACCGTGAACGTATGGACAACACCCCGCTTACTGGATTTAAAAACTAACACAGCGTGGGCAGCGAGCAGGACTTGACCAGTTGACCGGTCGAAATAATCTACGGGTACTCAGGGAGCGTTATGCCAGTTACCCCTAAGTTCGGTTCGGACCGAGTGGACACCTCAACCCAAGGAGGAAGACGCTGGAGTTTGAGGGACTGGGAAGTGGTGGACAGGGAAGCTACGTTACGGCGGTGAAAAAAGAGACTGAAACCGAGATGCCAGATCAAGTTCGATAATATTGCAGATTCTTTGGACTTTGTCAAGAATATCTAAATATAATAGCGGAATAATTTTGTTATTAGCTGAATTTTGATCGGCTTTGTGTAATCTACTAAATTCTGCGTACTTGTGGGTAAATAGGTTATTTTTGTTATGTACGTCGGCGGTTGTGGGGGATATCTTCATATCATAGCAGCAGAAATTAGCTTTGTGTTCACGGAGATAAAAGCATACCTGACAGAAAATAAAACGTACACAAATAACAGGAAAAGCATGGTAAATTCTATGTTAATTTTTTATGTTTTTCTTGTGTTTATTGGTGTGAGTATTTTTTAGGTGATAATTGTTTTATGGTACATGTAATAAAAGGGAGAAATTTACTCCGTAGTATTACGAGCCATATAACAGAGAGAAGTTGGACACGCGTTGCCCGTACCGAGGTTCGTGGTGAAGAGATTAAATTTAATGTAGTTTGGCAGGATGTCTGTATTTTCGACAGGAACAGTTCTGTTGCATGCTGGGAGTATTTTTATTTAATTTATTTTATACAACGTTTTTATGTTAATGTTGTTTTTTTATTTATAATTTTCATTATTATTATTATTATTAATTTATATTTTATTTTTATTTATTTGCGATAATAATAATAATAATAATAATAACCCTACATACTCCAGGAAATCTTGTGTACTTCACCAAGTCTTGAGTATTCTCATGCGAATGGCTTTATTTCGATGTATGTTGAGCGGCACATTGAATACGATGACATTTGCGTCGAAATATCTAATTGGAAAGTAACAAGGAACAAATATTCTCGTAATTACTAATACAGAAGGTAGTGAAGGAAAGCGAGAAGGAAGGACTAAACGTCAATTTCAAAAAGGCAGAATGCATTTTTGTAAGCGAAAGGAAAAGCCCAAGATGCAAATTACAAATGGGAGATACGAAAATCGAATAGGTAAAATAATTTAAATATCTGAGAAGTGTTTTAACAGAGAACGGAAAGTGCGACACTGAAATCCGAAGGCGCCCTGGGATAGTAAAAGATGACTTCCAAAAGCTAAGCAATGTATTAAGAAACAGGAAAATTTCATTAGAAACAAAGAAGAAAGGACTAAGATGTTACGTAATATCAGTCCTCCCATGTGGCAGGGAATGCTGAGCACATTTTCTACAGTTGAATAAGAGATGTGGTGCTACAGAAGGATGCTGAGAATACTATGGATCAAATATATGAGCAACTACGAAAATTTAGAGGAAACATAAAGCAAACTTATACTTAACATCCCGAAAAGATAGTTGAAATTTCTACTGTACATAAAAGAGGGCTTGGAAAATTTGATACTCACGGGACAGATTGAATGGAAGAGGAACGGGAGAAAACAATGCATAATCAACCTGTATGGCGGAGCAAGTTCTAGGAGAGATAATAAAAAACGAAATTTATTGAGGTACAAAGGACAGGAAATTGTGGAGAGCCATGATCATCAACGTCCTGAAGGGACACGGCACATAGAAGAAGAAGAAGAAGAAGAAGAAGAAGAAGAAGAAGAAGAAGAAGAAGAAAGAGCTTGAGTAAATGGATGGCAGAACAGGGTTTAAGAGTGATAACAAAATGATCAAATTTATTAAGAGCTACAGAGGACAGGAAATTGTGGAGAGCCATGATCGTCAAGGTACTTAAGGGACACGGCACATAGAAGAAGAAGAAGAAGAAAGAGTAAATGGATGGCAGAACAGGGTTTAAGAGTGATAACAAAATGATAAAAATTTTTAAGAGCTACAAAGGACGGGAAATTGTGGAGAGCCATGATCGTCAACGTCCTTAAGGGACACGGCACATAGAAGATGAAGAAGAATCTGCACGAATTCACTTGTATTTGTACGTAAGCGCTCCCGCTGGAAAATGTAACGTCTTTTGTTTACTTTGTTCTTTTTCAAAACAAACAAATAAACGCAGGCCCTCCCCCCGCAACTTTTTTTTTTTCTTTTAGTTCCCCACAACCCAAGTCGTTTCTCTTCTCGACGTCAAATCTGTTTTCTTTCATTTGTGCACCTGTTTTCTTTACTGGTGGTCGGCGTGGGGGTGGGGGTGGTTGTGGGGGATCTTCAGAGCAACATAATCCCTCGGGTGGTCTGTCAAATAGTTTAACTGTCGTTCCTTTTCGTATCTTTGCGAGCACTGACTGCACCCCGCCCAGCACCTCTCACCTGAAAGCACTCACAGGAATAGATTACTACAATATTTACTCTCTCCACAAAAGAAAGAAAACATTTGCCGAAACTTCTTTTGATGAAGGGATTAGTTCTTTAAGTAATCATTGGCTTCTGCCTTGTGTCAGACAAAGGTAATTTTGTCAATAACACGCGACAGGTGCAATAAACCCGGTTGACCTTTTAATTTCGGATACCAAATTTCAGCAGGTGGGTTATATTAACTGGACGTTAGGCAATCAGAAATCGTAACAAATTGGTCACATGGGGTAATAAACAATTGTGAAAAAAAAAAGAAAAGAAATCTGTTATGGGTACCTACCTACAAATGGACTCTTCCACACCTATATAATATGGCTACCAACTCTGAGTAGAGGAAATCACCGTGTGAGAGTCGCCAATTAGAGACACCGAGTGAGTGAATGAGTGAGTCAGGACACCAGTGAGAGAAAGTACTCTCCAGTCCACCTTGTACTACGTTCCGGAGAATATACTATTTAACCTTATATCCGAGTCCGTGTTATCTTTCTATGGTTCAACACCATAACAAAAACCTAATAAACGGTGGTAGGTTCCAATAAATGGGGTGGCAGGGAAAAAAAATTTAGAAAAGGTTCTTCAAACTATCGCAGCACCTCAAAGAAATTAAGATAAAAATAAATATCCGCTAATGTAAAATTCTTTAACATTGGTAATTCCAAAAAATAAAACATCAACAACGCAAAAATAAAACCAAAAAGACAAAAAACAAAAAACAAAACGATACCTTAGGTTTAAAATGAATTTTTAAAAATGAAAAATCTTTCTTGAAACTTTTATTTCAGTTCTAATTCCAAGCGAATAGATTAAATTTAATATCCCCAATAAATAAAATACTTTGCTGTATTTCAAAACTAATCTAAATTGACTGGAAGGAATTTTCATTTTGAAATAAATAATTTTAGTGTAGTTTTGAACCATTCGTCATCTCAATGTAATTCTCTTTATTAAAAAAAAATTCCAAAAATAAATTATTCTATTCTGAAACTCTATTTGAAGAATGTTAGCTGATTTATAGTATATTTAATCTGATTTGAAACAACGATTATTTACTTTAAGTTTCAAATATTGCAGAATTTTTTTTTAACAAGGTAGGAACTGTTTATGTAAGGTGTTGACAAGTTGACAACATGAATGGCTAACGAAAGTTTATCTAATGTTTTTCTACAGTGGATATATCTGTAAAATTTATTTGAGGAATATAACGTGAGCGCCTTTTTTTTATATATAATTTTTAACTAGCCAGTACTCTTTAAAATAATCTTTTTAATATTTTATCGAATTTTAGGTACTTTGGCTTTAAATTTATTATAGTTATCGCTGTTACCGTTTAACAGAATCGAAAGACTTATCAGGAAGTTTTGCCAGTGTTACAATATGAATACCGACCTTCATGATAACATCAGTTCTCAAATTGATATTTATGCTGATGAAACACTATTTATTCCGGTCTTAATGGTAAGTTTGATCGGTTCAAATTGGCAACTGACATCTTGCGGCTTCTCGGGCTAATATTTTCCGCTGACAGGAAGTAGAAAGATTATATTCAGTCAATTACTAAGGAAGTTGGTTCACTTTGTCGTGCTAAAAAAAAAATTCTAGATAGACTCTATGTTACAAATTTATAATTTTACCATTCTACCTTGCATTGAATATTGCTGCTACATCTGGTCTATTGCTTAATTATTAATTATGTATTTAGACTTTCTTAATAAAATACAAAGAAGAAATGCATGTCGGCTTCAGTCACTTTCCCGCCACCGTAATGTAGCTTCCCTGTGCCTTTTGTATAAATATTTTCATGGTATCTGTACTGATGAACTCACCTCTATTGTACTTCGACGTTCCGAAGGGCATTATATCACGAGTTAATGAGGGGGTCCGTTCAAGATGGTCGTTCTTATGAAGACGTGCTCGGTCTTACGAAGCAGGAGGCTCTCTCCATATAACCTTGAGCGCCCTGATCACTTATGATGAAGCATCACTCCCTGGCTGGTGGTTCGAAGGTTTCTCTGGGTCGGCAAGAGACTTTGTGAAAAATCTCCAAATCGTGTTCGATGCAATAAGTCGGTGTAGACCCTGGATCACACCTTCTGTCACTGCATGGTCTTAGCCCAGTTCTACAGATTTATTGAAGATACCATGATGCATGATGCACGGAAAGCTTTTCGTCTTTGAGGTCAGTTCTCTCTGTAGCAATGCGGCGCCGTTTCTTTTGCTTGCTAGGCGTCATGTAACGTAGCTTCCCTGTGCCGTTTGTATAAATTTTTTAATGGTGATTGTACTGATGAACTGCCTTCCTTGGTACTTTGCGTTGTGCCGTACGTCATTATATCACGTGTTAATGAGGGGGTCCGTTCAAGATGGTCGGTCTTTTGAAGACGAGCTTGGTCTTGCGAAGCAGGAGGCTCGCTCCATATAACCTTGAGCGCCCTGATTAAAATGCCTAAACTAATGATGAAGCATCACTCCCCTGGCTGGTGATTCGAAGGGTTCTCTAAGTCTGTAAGAGACCTTGTTCAGACTTTGTGAAAAAAATCTCTAAACTATGTTCGATGCGATGAGTCGGTGGAGACCATAGATCACACCTTCTGTCACTGCGTGGTCGTAGGTTTATTGAAGACAACATGTTTTGCATGATGCTCGGAAAGCTTTTCGTTTTGGGGGCCATTTCACTCTATAGCAATGTGCCACTGTTTCTTCTTGCTAGGCGTTATGAGAGTCGTGATATAGACGACACGTCAGAAAGTATTCTATAGGGACGAGAACTTCGTTTCTTTCAAACTGACCTTGCACTTAAAGTCAAGATTAAGTGGCGATACCCTTCATCAGAATTTGGTAAAAGGTGGGTGAGTCTTGCGCGTCTGTGTCGAGTGAAAGGAGCTTGTAAATGCTGCTTGTGTACTATGTTGAAGAGATTAACGTGGCTGCGTGTTGAAGAGCATTTAACATTTATACCTTATCAAGGAAAAACAATGAGAAAACGATTTTTGTTTCAACGATAAAATATATATTAAAATCAACATATACAAAACAATTTTGTAATGTGTGAATATTAAGGAAAAGAAAGTAGTTTCCCTTTACCTTTTAGCTTGAATAAGATAAAATGTAATTAAGAATGTTTCTTGAATAAAATGTTCAAAGTTCTATGTTGAAATAGAATGTTCCATTCAGAAAAGCATACGGATAATTTAGTTGTGTGTTATTTGTATAACTAACAGAGTGTTGGTTTGTAACTTGGCTTGTTCACAGAAAACGAATAGGGAAATGTACTTCAAGTTCTGTGTCTGTGTGTGCGTATTGAGTACAATCAATAATCTGTGTAGACGCGTGTGAGTTGCTGGATTCTACTGTATATTTTTGGAACAAAATACTGTTTTTATAACTATTGGTTGGCTCCAGGAAACAACGCGGGAAAGTTGAACGAACACAGAAAATATATGATTCCATAAAAAAAATTAACCAATCGGTGATATTCTAACAAAAGCATGTTTGCGAAATTCAAGACAGAAGAAAAATCAGTGCGGTGACTGTGATTAGTAAATTGTCCTGTGGTAAAGAGTATTTATTATTTAACCAATCACAGATGAGAAAACTGTAGGCGTGGCAAATGTAGTAGTCACTACAAGCTGACTTAGAGTGGCTTTTTAATACAGGTTAGGCATCAGGAGATTGCTCTCGCTGTATTGAACATCAGCAACCCAGTCCTAAATTAGGTTAGTTTAGGGTTGTTTTGTCTTTAGTTTTCTCTTTGAAAGTTAACATTGCGAGGGGGATGTATCCTCATTTTCTCCATTGTATGCACATTGTACCCACTTTCTTTCGTTTAATTCCCGTTAGATGATCAGAGGTGACAGTTCTGGACATCATTTCTGGTCACCTGTTGTTCTTTTCGTATTTGTTGATGTGTTTGAATGAGTGTGTGGTTGTTTAAGATACGTAGTCCCGCATTAATTCGTCCAGTTGACTGATCTCACAACTAAGGATTGTGGACGAGGGAGGTGTATAACTGTTCTGGTCCGGTTCCTTGTACTACGGTGATAGTCCAAGGTAGAACCAATAAAAAAGAACTCGAACACGGTTATGGAATAACATAGATATATTACAAACAGGAATATATACAGAGAGGTAGAAGTGTTAGTATGAACAATCAGGTTTAGTAGAGAGAACAGTATAGTCTCGACCAGTATCACTATTTCAATATCTTGCAGTAATTGTCTGAACGCGACTCTATTTCGGACTGCCTTGTGACTCGACTGACTGACTCGCTCTGACTGACTGACCGACTTCTGACGGACCTCACTCCAGACTTCAGACTGAACTTTAGACTTCAGACGGAACAGTATTTAGTCGCCCCCACCCTCCACGAGGGCATCATGTGGCACAAGGCCGGTTTAACGTGGGATCTCCGAGCCCGTGGGATCTCCGAGCTCGTGGGCTCGGCCAAAAATATGCCCTTTGAATCCGTATAAACGGGTTCAGGGTCGGTTTACATCCCCGAAAGAGACACCTTATTCGGCGTAGCCTCGTTTGGGTTCCTCTCCGCCCGAAGGCAGAGAGTTCAACCGATCAGCCGGTCGCCCCCCCCATGAGGGTATCATGTGGCACAAGACCAGTTTAACGTGGGATCTCCGAGCCCGTGGGATCTCCGAGCTCATGTGCTCGGCCAAAAAATATGCCCTTTGAACCCGTATAAACGGGTTCAGGCTCGGTTTACCACACCGAAACAGACTCCGCCCTTCGGCGTAGCCTCGTTCGGGTTCCTCTCCGCCCGAAGGCAGAGAGTTCAACCGATCAGCCGGTCAGCCGATCGCCCGACTTCAGACTGAACGATATTCAGTCACCCTCCCACGAGTGCGTCATATGGCACAAGGCCTTTTTAACGTGGGATCTCCGAGCCCGTGGGCTCGTCCAAAAATATGCCCATTGAACCGGTATAAACGGGTTCAGGGTCGGTTTACCTCCCCGAAAGAGAATTCGCCCTTCGGCGTAGCCTCCTTCGGGTTCCTCCCCGTCCGAAGG